GCCAAAAAACATTTATGGATAACAATTTCACTTTCAAAAATGTATAACTAAACATAATCCAAATGATTGAAATGCATATAAATATTTTAACAGCAATGCCTAACTCAAAGGATTTCACAAAATACCCTACTGGCGTCCCATGTAGGTCACCTATATACCCCACCAGCGTCTTGGATGGGTCCAAACAATCCCTTCAGGTTCAAACATATCTCACCGGCGTCCCGGATGAGTTCAAATAGTCCCTACCGGTGTAAATAGATAGGTTCAAACAATCCCTGCAGGTCCAAACATACCTCACCGGCGTCTTGATGAGTCCAAATAGTCTCTAGCGGCATAACGGAATAGGTCTAAACAATCCCTGCAAGTTCAAACGTACCTCACCGACATACTGGATGAGTCCAAATAGTCCCTATCGTCGTCCCGGATAGGTCCACACATACTTAAATTATCTCATAAACTCTTTAACATCAGAAAGCATCAACATCGTATATTCAAAGTATCATTGAAATCATTAACAGGAAATCACTTGAAACAATTTAAACAATTACTTTCATTGAAATATTTGTAAGTAACCAATCAAACAATTTGGATAAAAATTGCAAAAAGGTAACAGGTCGAACAGGTATATTTGAAATGGAATCCAATAGGCAGTCGATTATCAATTTGAGAGCTTTTATAGAAATCCAAGGTTAAACACATAAATATCACAATTTTATAGAATGTAGTTTCATAATTAATTATTTTACAGGAATAGGTAAAACTTATAGCAAAAAAGCAATGTGGAAGCCCAATTCCCTATCTTACCAACAGCTAACCAAGGTGGTCATGTCTCTAACGCAAACAAAGTTCTCTTTAAGTATGTTGTAAAAATATTATATATTATATATATTTAAATTATATATTACATTATATACTTTACATGAAAATGATTTGATAGGGCTACAGGCCTATGATGAAATTAAGTAAATCCTCACTTCATAACTCATCTGAATTTGCAAATCAAGAATTGGAAAACTTTTACATCAATCATCTCAACTTTCAACTTTGGACATTAGGGTTGTGAAAAAAAATTCGGATTTCAAACTGTAAAAATAGTATGTATTGTATATTTTTCCTTAAGAACAAGTGTTCACAGATCTACAAAATCTATACTATTTTTTAAGTTTCAAATTTTATTGTCGGTGTTGAAAATTGATTTTGGAGCCATCATAAATATTTGTGTTGCCGAATATACTTTCCCGGCAAGGATTTGAGGTGAGGCTTTATTTTGTTTTCATAAAGCCCAGGACTTATAG